CTTTCTTCTAACGATCAAGATGTATAATTAAATGGTTGCAGATGATGTATGAGGAAGCAAGCCAAGTTGCAAATGATGCAGTTGGGAGCATAAGAACAGTTGCTTCTTTCTGTGCTGAAGAAAAGGTAATGGACCTATACAGAAGGAAATGTGAAGGCCCTACGGAGGCAGCGAAAAGACAAGGCTTGATCAGCGGAATAGGATTTGGAATATCTTTCTTCTCTCTGTTTTGTGTCTATGCAACCTGTTTCTATGCGGGAGCTAAACTTGTTGAGGCTGGAAAAACAACATTTCCACACGTTTTCCAAGTAATTATTCCCTCCATTAATCGAATAGTTTTTAAAAACAAGACCAAAGCATATGCAGATGGTTTTAAGACGTGTATTTGGCCTGCAGGTTTTCTATGCTTTAACCATGGCAGCCATGGGAATTTCTCAGTCGAGCTCCTTTGCTGTTGATTCTAGTAAAGCCAAGAATGCTGCTGCTTCCATATTTGCAATGATAGACAGGAAGTCAAAGATAGACTCTAGTGACGAGTCTGGTGTGAAATTGGACAGCGTAAAGGGAGAGATTGAGCTTCACCATGTAATCTTTAAATATCCATCTAGGCCAGACATACAGATTTTCCGAGACTTAAGTTTGACTATTCACTGTGGCAATGTAAGCATTTCATCATTGATTTGGATTTCAATTCTGTTTTTTTTTTAAAAAAAAAAAAAAATAAATTTATTATCTTATAATATTTTAGTTTGATAACATGATGATGAAGTTTAGGTCTTCATATAGTGGTTCTTTTGTGAATCTCTTTTGCAGACAGTTGCCTTGGTTGGAGAAAGTGGGAGCGGAAAATCCTCAGTAATAGCATTGTTGCAAAGATTTTATGATCCGGATTCAGGTCATATCACACTTGATGGAATTGAACTTGGAAAATTCCAATTGAAATGGTTAAGGCAACAGATGGGGCTTGTGAGCCAAGAACCTGCTTTATTTAACAACACCATCCGCGCCAACATTGCATATGGAAAAGAAGGAGATGCAACTGAGGCTGAAATTATAGCTGCATCAGAGTTGGCCAATGCCTACAGGTTCATTAGTAGCTTAGGACAGGTTAGAACATTAATGCATATAATAATTTTTTTGGGGTAATTCTGTACAAGTCAACTAATCTTAGTTGCAACATTAATCCAAATGCATTATGCAGGGGTTTGACACCGTAGTAGGAGAACGAGGAGTGCAATTGTCCGGGGGACAGAAGCAACGCATAGCCATTGCGCGTGCTATAATCAAGAGCCCCAAGATATTACTGTTAGATGAAGCTACAAGTGCACTCGATGCTGAATCTGAGAGAGTGGTTCAAGATGCATTAGATGGAGTGATGGTAAACCGGACCACAGTGGTGGTTGCCCATAGACTATCCACAATCAAGAATGCTGATGTGATCGCAGTGGTAAAAAATGGGGTTATCGTAGAGAGAGGCAAGCATGATACTTTGATGAATATCTCGGATGGATCTTATGCATCCTTAGTAGCTCTTCACATGAGTGCTTCAACTGCATGAGATTGTTGTACATCTTTCTTTTTCTTTGTAATGGTTTGGTTAAAATCTGCCACCTTTTCTTTTATCACCAAAGACTAAAGAGAACTGCATGAGTCTTCAACAGGTTATTACTTGTTTTTTTGTTGTTGCAGATGAAACATCTTCTTCAGCTGCTTCCCTTGTTCATCAATTCGCAACTTTAAATTTCGCTGAATCTGTTGGTGCAAGTAAATAAGTGAAATTGAAATATTAGAATGTAACCAGAGGTACTTGGCGTTGTGTTTTCTATTAGTCCTCCAAGTTCAGAGATCTCTTTTTATTGGCACAAAGACAAGCCCTGAGAATTCCTATAACTGATTTGGCTAATGTTATGAGTTGCAAACCAGTTTACAGTTATTAAGCCCAACAAGGACTCTAATGCAGAGTAAAATACAATGCGGAAACAAGAAATTCAATGGATCTAGCATATATAAAATCATATAATCTTGAGACACCACTGAGATAGTGAGATGGATCTCATCTATGCACCTGTAATTGTTCACGAAAGACGCCTCTCGACATCCAGTTGCAGTTGCAGCGCCTCTTTGATTTGCGTATAAAGAATGCCAGCAGCCCTTATTTGATTACACATCTTCTTTATCTGTCAATTGGAGTAAAACAGCAAAGGTGAGAATTCTGCCTTTCTACTTTATATTAAAAGCGTTACATAACCTTTTGACTCTACATCATCAGCGTCAGCAGGCTGAGTTGAATTTGTGAGGATTCAAATAATTGTTTGGAATCTTGCAACGAACCCATCAACTTCTCCAGAGTATATGTTTATTGCTCCTGATGGTAAGCAGGCGTAGTCCCCATCGTGGATGTCTTCCCATAATATTGTAACATCCAAAGAAGAAGATTTAGAGTTTAAACACCAATTAAATATAATTAGCTATCATCTGAAGAGGAAACTAATAAAAATTTCTAATTATTATAACATGGTTACTACTACAAATAAGACAAACTGTACTATACATATCATATAAATAGAAGCATAATCCATGCATTTATTTTCAAAATTAAATTGAAGCATAGTTCGATCATTCGAACATGTTTTACTCAAAACCATTAATCCTTTTCAGTTATTTATGTTTCTCTTTTTTTTCTCCAAGAGACCTTTGGAATTGATGCAATTTGTGTTTTGGGTATAGTTGTTTCAATTATGTGCAATATCTAGCCAATGTGTCACGTCCCAAATTCACTAAAAGAACAATTAAGTCAAACTCATTACGTTGCTCAATTTGAAGGACCAAAATGATGAGTTTCGTATAATTGAGGGATTATCTGTGGTAAAACATTTTATAGAAGGTGTAGGTCTATCATCTTTTGTTGTTTAGGACAATAAGTTTGCCGTTATAATCAATTTGGTTACATTGGAGAGGATAGAATCTTAGCCTACTATAATTATTCTAACCAATATATGCTCTTATATAGGGATCCGGATTCTCTACTTGGTTTTTCTCTATCATGATCTACTTGACTTCTCTTCTCCACATGCAACCTCATTTAAATTTGATCAAGGCTAAAAATTTAACACTTTGAAAAAAAAATCTCCACATGCCACCTCATTTAAATTTGATCAAGGCTAAAAATTAACTTTTCGACCAACAAAAGAAGAAAAATTAACACTTTGATCAAGGTTATTTCTCAAATTGGAAAAATCATAACATACTCCACCTGAAGCCTTAGTTAAATTTCAAATTTGGTGTGTTGGATTTCAAGATAGAGGAAATTTTTTGTGAAACATCGTCCTATCCATCTTTGCATTTGTTTTTATTTATTTAATGATATTATTATTCGACATCTTTATTTAGTTTTGTGAAATATAAATTATACAATAATTATTAATAATGGCAAAAATATATGCCAATTAGCATCACGTGTTTGTGAGCACAGATTTGAATTTTGTCCTTACTCTTTTGTTCTTTTCTTTCTTGGCTACCCTGTAAATTCTGTGATATTCTTTCTTAAACTTTTAGCCTAAAACATGGCCACATCGGTGAGACTGCAATTGCTTACGTTGTTTCTACCTACTGAAAAGGGTTACTGAAGAACAGTTAAAAGTTGAAGGAACTTTTCCTATGAACAGGGAGGGAAATCTTACTTTTGGGTTCTATGATCTGATGTATCTAAACTATTGTTTGTCCCGTTGGATTTTTGAACTTCATTATGTGATAATAGTTACTGTTTTCACACAAAATTTTCCATTTATCTACACTAACACTTGTCATTTTGCAAATTTGTACCAACAAAGTTAAAATCCCTACTGAGGACAAGGAAAAACAGAAGCCGCACCTCTACAACAGAGCCAGCAAAAGATAGATCCCCTTCCAACAGATATCAAAACAATGAATCCCCTTCCAAACTCTTTTGAACAATTAGAGCTCAAAACTACTGCTATTTTGATGTTTTCATTACTACTTGGTTTATTAAAATATGGTCAATATTTTAACACGACAATTATAAGTCTAGTTTTTGTAACTTAAACTTGCTAAACAAAACATTATGCCATTATTTAGATGCTTTAAAACCCGCAGCAAAGCGCGGGCACCTTTGCTAGTCCTAACTAAGGACTTGCCAACAGTCTCTACCAAGGTACTTGTAAAAGGTGGTGCACAACTATACAGTCTTGCCATGATTGAAGAAGCTGGGAGGCGACATAGCTGTTACCTGCCATAAGCAAAGATGGATTTGCTATGTTTTACTGCCACAGCAAGACCAACAGCAGCTTATCGTTGCTCAACTTTAGACAACCTCAAACTCTCCCTAGTTTGAAACAAGGATTGCCCTCTAGCTAATAAATACCTGGTAGGAAGTAAAACAACGAAAAAAACAGCTGCGAAAGAGGCTGAAGTGCTTCTGGTGGCATTAGAATGAAAGAACAATCGGGCATCTGTGTCAACTAGCTTTAAGTAGTTGTGGAAGAACCTGTAGCATCTGTACAGTTGATGTATGTTATAATTTTCGTACAGATATGGGATATGGGATTTACCAATTTTATCTGTTGATATTTATTTTCTCAAAGCTGGTTGCTATTGTGCTATTTAAATATTATAGGCCCCTACTGAAAACGAAAAAAATATTCAAACACAATCTTTAGAACATATCCATCCAGAAAACCCCACCTGCAACAAAGTATTTCTCTCTAAAAATATGCCCAAATTGCTCAATGTCAATGATGAGCAATGAACTTGATATATCAACTTATCATCCGCACTCGGCCAAGTATAGACCTGTCTCTATACTTTCTCACTTGTTGGTACTTCAATCCTTGAAATTTGTTGGTGGTCTAATCCTTGAAAGTTGGTCAAGAAACGCAAAAACTAAGACACTCATCAGAGCAAGTGCAGCAACGAGTTTTGAATACAGAAGACATATTCAAATTTATTCACCACAAAACAAACTTAACATCCAAACCAAAATTATAAACACAAATTACAAGTACCACAAATCTCAGTCAAAACTAAGACTGAGAAACTCCTATATAACTCTTTGATTTATGCTTCACTTCATCATGCCCACCCCTTGCTTGCCCTGTTGATCAGTTGATGAATTCCACTCCCCCTGGTTACCACTCTGCTCCTCCTCTTGCCCGATCACCGTGTCTTTTGTCGTCTGAGCTATCTCAACCAAAGTCTCCCCGATTGCTCCCAGCACCCCCCCCACGCCGGCGCCGGCCAATTGGGAGGTATCCATGCCACTCATGAATTCCTCACTACTCGTTTTGCCACCGCCTTTCTCATAAGCCCTCTCCTCTCTTCTTTGCTGATCACCACCTTCGCTCTGCGTTCCCTTTTGACCCTCCTCTCTTTTCTGATCCCGACTGATGTCCTCACCTCTCATGGTGCCCTGAACTTGACTCTGCCATTCCTGACCAGTCTCCCTCCCTTGTTGAATCTGACCCCCCTTCCAAGTAAAACCAAACATTGATTAACACATAATGTACTTATCTGATACATTTCTACAGAACATAGGTGTTTCTAACGCATATATGCAGCTTATGTATAAATTCACAAGGTTCAATTAAAATGATGCACATATAAGATGTGAGATTGAATTTAAAAAAAATAAAAGCAATATGTAATTTGTACTGTTTCATACCTGTGACTTATTTTGCTCAGCTGACCTCTTGGCCTCCAGTTCTCTCTGTGCCTCCTCTCTCTTCCTAGCAGTGTACTCCTCTGCCTTCTCACCCGCCACCGCCGCAGCATCTTTAGCCATAATCAAGGGCTTGGAAACAATATCCACAGCTGTATGCCCCGCATACTCCGCCGCCCCCTTCACAGTTCTAGCCGCCAACTTGGTCCCCTCCACCGCCGCCTCTGTCGTGTAATGCGCGGCACTCCAGCCAGCCACAGTCGCCTTGTCCTTCAAACCCACCGCCACGTCACCGGCATATGCCCCCGCAGTCTTCCCGCCCTCCAACGTCATGTCCTTGGCCTTCGCCGCCCCTTCTCCCACGTAATGCAGAGTGGTCTGTCCCGCGGACACCGCCACATCTTTCCCCTTCTCCCCTACTGGGGCTGTTTTCTCCACGACCGTCTTCCCTGCGCTGCTAAGAGTTTCTTTTGCAGTTTGTGCTCCTTGGACGAGTGTCTCCTTGGTTTGCTCACCTTTCTCTGAGACAAACTCGGTTGCGCTGCCAATCCCTTTCCTCGCCGATTCTTTAGCCTGGGTATAACGCTCCTCTGCGGCTCTTATTGCCTCCATGGAATTCTGCTGTGCTGCTGCTCTAAACTTCGATATTTCTTCCAAAGATGGTTGCTGTTCTTTGTTTTGCTGCTGACGACCCTCCTTTTCTTCTCTGCCTTTAGAGCCTTTCTCTTCCCCACCACCCATTTTCTCTCCACCCTGATCATCTCTGCCCGTCATGTTTGTACTTCTTCCTTCCTTTTCTTCCCTGCTTTTCATCTCACTTTCTCTGCCGCCTTTAGAACTCTTCTCTTCCTCGGGGGTCATTTTCTCTATACCCTGGCCTATCTGTGTGCATCTAGATTGTTTATCAACTTCAGTACTTTCTTGGCCTTTATTGGCCGAACCCTTCTCTTCCTTACCACTCACTTCAAACTTACCAACAGATTGAGCTCCGCCTTTAGCTTGCCCTGGCCTTTATTGGCCGAACCCTCCTCTTCCTTACCACTCACTTCAAACTTACCAACAGATTGAGCTCCGCCTTTAGCTTGCCCAAGAGATTGACGACCTCCGCCTTGTCCTTGGTGCTCTTCAACCTTCGCATGATATTGACCACCAACTCCTTGTCCTTGACCTCCGCCTTGGCCTTGAGCCCCGGCTTGTCGTTGGTGCTCTCCAACCTGACCACCGCCTTGGCCTTGAGCTCCGGCTTGTCCTTGATCTCCAGCTTCTCTTTTGTGCTCTTCAACCTTAATAAGAGCTTGACTAGCTCCACCTTGTCCTTGACCTCGGCCTTGGACTTGACGCTCTTCAGTTTTCCCATGAGATTGACGCGCTCCACCTTGGCCTTGACCTTGACCTTCCCTTTGACCTTGCCCTTGGTGGCGCTCTTCAAACTTCCCACCTTGGCCTCCTCCTTGACCTTGAGTGTGGCCTTCGTTCTCTCTCTTAGCCTCGGCCTCTTTATCCGCCACCATGTTCGCCGTCCTCGCTTGATCAGCCGGCGCTTCTCTCTCCTTATCCTTGTCCTTCTCCACTTGATCCTTGATAGACTCGAGCTCATGAGCCTCTTTTGCTTTTCCCATGCCCACATCACCCGCCGTGCTACCACTCCGCGCTTTATCCTCATGCTGCTGCGACTGCTTGCTGCTGTCCAGAGGAGTGTCTTTGCCTTCTGCCCCTCTGAGAGCCTCAAAGTGGGTCGTCATCTTCGGCACCTTATCTTTCTCAATCTCCAGCCTCTCCGAGGTGGTATTTTCCCTTCCCGATCTCATTTGATGCTCAGAAGCCATTTCCTCTCTTTTCTCTCGAAAATATTGGAAGCTGTTTAATATTGCTGGTTTTGGTTTTGAGTTTTGTTTTGTTGTGCTTTTTTCTGGGTTTGAGAACTAATGAGAAATGGTCGTTCGAGATTGGTGTTAAAAACATGAAGCCATGGCGGTGCCTGAGGAGGCGGTAAGGACGTCTATGCATGGAGAAGGACATGTGTTGGGTGGAGCAATGCCACGTAGTGGCTTCTGGGGAAGAGTCAGATATCATGTTCGACCAGGAGCTCACACGTCAATTGTTTAAGATTAGCATTATCGCACATGTCCGTACATGTAGGGACACGTGGCGAAGTCTTTTGGTGCCACGGAGGTCGACTTCTTCAGTTCGTCAAAACACGTGGCATGTCTACTTCGATTTGAGACTCAGAGATACGCCGCATTAGAATCATGAATAAGATAATTACCAATAAGGAAAACTGATTTATGGGTTCAAACAACGATTGATTCCAAAAATATTTTGTCGAGTGAGCCATTGATCAAAGTTTTGATGGGCTAAATATGATAAAAGCCTATAGCTCTATATATGGGCGGAATTTAGTCAGCCCGAAAGCTGCATTGGGCCCAGGCAGCCTGTACACAGTTTTGCTCTTCAAACACATGATATTACATGCATGGATGACTGTTGTTAATCGCTTGAGTTATAAATTCTTGTAATTTTTTTATTTTTTTATTTATATATGAAGAGTTGCTAAAATTGGTCCCTTATGGATATTTGGTCGCGTAAGTTCAGTCACGTGATGTAAAGATTGGGAATTCATCGACTGCGCCGTTATTTAACGGAACGTTGGGCATGACATTGCAAATTTTTAAGCAAGATGTCTAAATTTGCAATTGATGTCGAACCTGAGAGGATAAAAATGCAATTATCTACAAATCATGAAGTAAACATGCCTCCACACTGCCATGTTTATGGCACGAGCACAGACTGCGGGCCCATGTCGTGCTAGTATCTGGTTCGAGAAAATGGTTATTAGACAGTCCTCGATAAAGCAAAGTAGAGCTGGCCCAACCTATTTTTAGCCCTAAATGATAGGTAAAAGCCAATAGTTATTTAAGACCACACAAAAAAAAAAAAAAAAAAGCCTAATAGTTATTGACCCAAAAACAAAAAAACAAAATGCCAATAACTATTACGATTGATTTGAGCAGTGTGGCGGAGTCACAGAGGTGTAAAGAGGAGCAGCTGCGTTTCCGCTATTTTGAAAAATTTCTTGCTCCATTATGGTTGTAAGATCAAGTTAAATCACGATTCAAGAGACCAATAATCTGACTACCAAATAATGTAAATATACAATTGAATCACGAACCCTTTTATTGCTCAAATGCACAAGTAATAAAATGCCCTACTTCCTGAAACAATGAGAGTTTCTTTCAAGAATTAATGCACCTAATTAAGTTAAATACAACATTAATCAATGGTTGTGAATTTTTTTTAATTTTTTTCCTTCAACCAAATAGAGCTGCATATAGGAGGTCGTTCCAAGTATCTGGGAGGCCAGGAAGACACCAATGGCTGCAATCTGTTCCACTGTGGTCGCCACTATACTTAGATGGGTGAGCATCTTTGCGCATTTGTGAGAGAAATGTAATGTCAAGAAGATAGACTGGTTTCTTAATCCTAGCCAACACTTTGTTGACTACAACCCAAGCCAAGGGTACGCCTGCTGGGTACTTTGCTCCAAAGAATGGTTGTGTTTCACTTGAGCATGATCTTGTTGGTTGGTTCCAATCCCTGCCCCTAATTTCATATCAACAACCATCGCTTATGTAAGATTCATCGCACTTTGTTAGTGTTTGCTTTCACAAATCAACACGTCCGAAAATTGAAGGATCAAAATGAAATTCAAGTATAAGTTCATGAACGATTACGGTTAAAATTTCGAAGACAGACGACCGCATACATGTTGACTATATATGATAAAAAAATAAGTAGAACATAATGAAGGTTGAAGATGAGATTACTCACTCATAATGGGTTGGAGAAATCCCTTGGAAGAAGACCTTGGTTTTGGAAGAATCAACATATCGGTTGACCCATCTAGACCAAGTTGTCATTCCTTTATAAAACGCGACCAGACGGTTCATGTCTTTGTACAATTTGCCCCCCTCTTCCAGATAGTCCCATCTGCAAACGTGGAAGACGACGATACGTTAATTTTGGTTGATATGGACAAAACATAGATCATGTGAATCCATCAAAATGGGAGTGTAAACGTACGGCTGTGCTCTTCCTGTGTGGGTCCACCAGTGCCACGTGTCGAAGATCAACAGGTCCATGCCTCTCCATGCTCTGCCGCTCCTAATGGAGTCCAGCTTCAAAACTCGGCCCACCTTCTCGTTGACAAGATCCACCAGGTATGTTGTGCGATATAGTAGTATTTGAACTCCATAATCCTGTCCAAAGAAATAAAATTTAAAAAAAAAAAAACCAAGATAAGAATGATGCTTTCAATTAAATTTTTTTTTTCTCATTCCAACAAAAAATATATATATATACTTTTCATTAAGACTAAAATGTTATATTTTTACTAAATAACTAAATGTACAAAGTTCGAACACCCGATCACATGTACAGAAAGTAACACTAATAATTATTTGATCTACAAGCTACTTTTCTGATTAACTAAGTTTGAATTAAGCAATTGATTCTCTTCTCTAACTATGGGAAAGGTAAAAATACATGAAGAAAAAAAAAAAAAGATTGGCCTCTCATAACTTTGGACGGTGGTCCAACATAGTGAGAAAATTGGTGCGTACTAAAAAAAGATAGGGGTTTACCTAGCCCACCCAAAAACCAAAAGAAGAAAAAGAAAAAGGAATGCCAAAAGAAAAGATCATTATCCCTCGTCTCCAAAACCCCCAAAAAAGAAGATAAATACATAAACAAATACAATTAAAGATGTAGCAATAAAAATACAGATAATGTCTTTTAGTCAACACATACATAAGTCCAAGATTAATGAGCGATAGCTGGCCCGTCCTGTGATGTGGTGTCGTTTTATATAGCTGGATTAGAGTCCTATCTACAACATATCTCAAATTTTAATTTTTTGAGGATTTTTTCTATTGAAAGGTACGATATAGTATATTAAATTCACACATACTATACAGATACTAAGACTCGAATCCAAAACCTTGCCTAAAGGAGTAATATTCCAAACTATTACACTAGTGGGTCCTTTGCGTAAAGAAAAGAAAGGAAAGGAAGAAAAGCTCAATCCCACTGCATAAAGCATCCCCCATATATTCACTTCCATTTTGATACATCTCAATTTTAGAGAAGCAGGCAATGGACTGATTATAACGACCTTTCTCAATTAAGGCATTATAATTGATTGTTCGAAACTTCATTTCAATGTAAAATAGGACTTTTCAAGCGTTGGGAAGTTTTATTAGATTCAAACTTTCATTACACATTTTTCCCAAAAGAGCACCCATAAAGAAAAAAAGGAAGGAAAAGAGAAAGAGATCATAGATGACGCAACCGTCTCGATCTTTCAATAAATCAAATCTATAGTTTGACAAAACAAAAACAAACAAAAAAACTCATGGGCGATCAAGAAATGTAAAGCTTCTAGAAATTTGAAGTTGAAAATGAAGCCATAAAAGTAAGCGTATATTTAGGGTTCCGACTTAAACGCTAAAAGCGCTTTCTGATAATAAAATATTTTCTTTTCGTTTGATATTTACATTAAAGACGGAGAAATAAACATATCTTTTATTTGTGTAATTGTTTTTTTGGCTGCTAGAAAGAAAATTCATTTACCACATAAAATAGAACACAACCTCTGACATACCACCGGCAAAGTGAAAAGGCCTACGCACCAATCACGCTCCCCTTTTTAATGCTCTCACACTCCCCACAAGCTCATCCAAGCATGGAAAATTGTTCATACTTGAACCTAGCCCAATTTTGCATCTCTCTTTCTTGTTCCAATGGGCAAAATAAATTTCAAATCATTTTAAATGGACAAGCTTGATTACCTTTTCTTAAAAGCTAAAGACTTAAAAGGGACAAAACATGCACGCACTGTTATATCCAATGATTATAATACCATCTCTTTTCAAAAAAAAATATCAAAATCAAAATCAACACTTTCCTGGAATGTGACTGAAGCTAAACCATCTCTTTTCAAATAAATGGTTCTGGAATTTGGCACCCATGCATGAAGCATACATGTTAAAGACACCCACTGGTTGAAGCTAAGTGAGTCTCCGACGAACATAATCTTCTTCCCCCTCCATTTCTCCAAAAAAATCAACCCATTAAACCTGCAAACCAAAATTTAAAAAAAATAAAGAGGGTAAGTTTCTCTTGAGCACCCATTTCAATTTGTGCCGGCTCGGCCGGTTTGAAACCTCTAATATTCATTTACTCAATTTACCAAAACTTGTTTTCGTGTCTGTAAATTACAGTTTGACACATATGCAGAAATAAGAAGCTCGCACTGTCAAACAGTGATTTGTCTGTAAAGAAGAAGGGCTAAAAGAATGAGAAGTAGGTACCTGGGCAAGGCACAGGAGAAGGGCTGCCATCTGTATTTGAGGTAAGTAGAATCACGACGACCGTACTTCTTGCAGTCGAACTGCGGATCTAAGAAAGGACAGGTGGAGGAATCGTAGGGGGGCTTGGAGGAAGCGTCGTAGACCCACGTTCCACGGAACCAGTTGCATTTTCCTGCAAGCTTTCTGGGCACTGAATTGGAAGCAGCAGCAGCAGCAGAAGTAGAAGCATTATTATTATTATTAATATTGAAGGAATTGAAATCCTCTGCTTTTGTTTGGTGGGAAACCAAAAACAGAGTTAAAAACAGAGTTGAAAACAGAGCTTTGAATAGGAAACCCATTTCCTTGGGTTTCGATCCACAATTTTTCAAAATATTGGTTTCAAAGAGAAAGCAAAAACAAAAAGGACCAGGAGGAGTGAAGAAAGAGTTGTCTGAAATGGCTGCTTATATAATGTA